TAGGCTTTAGGGGTCAGGGTTTAGGGGTTTAGGGTTTGGGATTTAGGGTTTAGGGTTTAGGGTTTGGGGTTTAGGGGTTAAGGGGTTTAGGGCTTAGGGTTTAGGGTTTGGAGTTTAGGGGAGGAAGCAGTTCTGAATAGGGCAACTCAGTCACAGGAGCTAGACGCGAAACCTGGTGATCAACCCCTCCAGGCTTAATGGCTGGTAAAACAGTGGGGAGGGCCGAACCATGTGCGGGTTCAGGGTTTTCAGGTTCCGGGGTTCAGCGTTTCGGGTTTAGATTAGGGTGCAGGGTTTAGGGTTTATTTAGTGTTCACGGTGGCTACCGGAAGCTACCACAGGGTTTTATTTTAGGGGTTCGGGCCTTTGGGTTTAGAGTATAGGGCTTTCGAGTAGGTACGATGGAGAGCCGCTTGCTAACAACAGCAAGGGCCTAAAAAGAACATCGGGCTTGCCAGCACTACCCCCACAAGGCCTCAGCACCAGCTCATGGGTGTATGAATTAGGGCTTGGGGTGGAGGGTGTATGAATGAACAGAAAAGCATATGAATGTGAGCTGTTTCAGCCACCAAGCTTCGCTTTAACCTCAAGAGGCTACAGCTGCTTTAAGACAGGTATGCAAAATCAAAGTATTAGGAAACTTTCTTAGCGGTGGGGTTTGGATGCCGGCTGGCTCCGTGTTGTTTCGTTCTTTTTTGGGGAGTGTTCGGGTGTTGGGCGGGGTGTGAAGCAGCCTACCAAATCTAAACCAATATAGGGGCCTTATAATAGTTACCCATACTATCTTGGGGTTCCTTATCATAATTCTACTATAATGGGCCTCAAAACCCTATTCTAATTATTTCCGCCCCTATACCCTAAACCCTTATAGTAGCCTTTATAGAACCCTTTAAGGAACCCTTTAAAGGAACCCAAAACCCTATTCTAATTATTAAGGCCTCTACAATAGAGATCTGTTTTCGGCCCAGGAGCATGGCTACCTCTACACCCGTGCCCGTCCCCGGAGCGAGGCAAGGAGTGCATTGAGGATTCTCGGTGGTAAGCTGCCAGGGGTTTTGCTGTTCAGGTGTTGGGCATTTTGGGGTTTAGGGTTTAGGGTTGGGTTTTGGGTTCAGGGTTTAGGGTTTAGGGTTTTTTTTATGGTTTAGGGTTTAGGGTGTAGTGTTGTGGTTTCTGGCGGGTTTTACGCGTAGGTCGTAGGATTTCGTGCGCTTGGTGTTGCATGCATACACTAGGTGTTCAGGGTAATTGGGTTAACGCTTTGACTTGGGTTCAGGGTTCAGGTTACACCTACGATGGATGCACAAGGAGTTCCTTTCGGCAGCTGCAGTGCCCAAGTGTAATTAGTGCCTGGACCTCTTGGTTGACCCATGACGGTTTAGGGGCGTTTAGGGTGTAGGGTGGCTTAGAGTCAACAGTCCAGCCCAGGAAGACACACAACACTGGCTGACACTTCCACGATGCCTTAAACCCCAAACCCTAAAAAGTTGAAGCCACAACCCTAAACCCTGCAGACTTAAGACTTCTATAGATGCCTATAAACCACGACAGTGGGTCCAGTAACTTGCTGTGCAGCACGACGACGTTGTGGCCGGGAAGGCAGTGGCAGCAGTGGCAAGGGTGGTGGAAGCAGCCGCAGCAACTTGTTGTGGCGCTCCAAAAGCTTGTGGCCGAGTACAAGAGACCTGTGCAAGGCTCGGTTGTCAAAGATGGCCACACATCCATGGGCCAATAGGGGGTGACGAACGACACAGGTGCGGCTAAGCCCCTACCCACAACCGTCAACCCTAAACTGCAGACCCTAATCAATTCCTAATCCCTAGTTGCCCACATCGAAGAACGGGGAGCAATCCCCAAGCAGGATGTTCTTAGAGATATGATCATTCTTCATCCCGACCCGCATATATGTACAGGCAATAGAGAGTCAGAGGTCTATGTGCATGTGGTTATGTGTATGGACGGCTACAAAGACAGATCGGCAGACAGATACATCGACAGCGGCTGTTGCCGTTGCTGTTGCTGTTGCTGTTGCTGTTGCTGGTGCTGGTGCTGGTGCT